TTTTAGACCAAGCACAGATCACTACAGATGAAGCCATGGGAGTTTTTTGTTTCTTAATGCTCAGTCAAAGTACAGCTCACAGATATCCATCAACAGAGAAAGAAGATTCTAGTTATTCACATCCACATGAATGGTGCCCATAGGGTAGGACTAAATTAGCAGTGGGTTTTGCTCCTGACCTCTGTCTTTTTGGGGCAGTAGAACAATAGGAAAGACAGGTTCTGCTGTGTTCTGTCTGAAGTGTGGAGCCAGTGTTGTACAAGAATGGTTTTGCCTGTGTTGTTCAGTTGTTTCTTGGGTTTTTGTTGGCAACAGGAGGAAAGGTCCAAGGTGGATGATCTGAGGGGAACACCGATGTCTGTGGGTACCTTGGAGGAGATCATTGATGACAACCACGCCATTGTGTCCACATCCGTGGGGTCTGAGCACTACGTCAGTATTCTGTCCTTTGTGGACAAGGACCTGCTGGAGCCAGGCTGCTCTGTTTTGCTAAATCATAAGGTGAGTTGTTTGTATAAAATCAAGTTTCTTACAAGTTCTAGTACTGTTTTTAACGGGCCTTTTTTCCTGAAGACCACAGGAGAGAGAATGCTATTTATTTCACACACCCAAGTAAGCGGGCATAAGAATTAAACTTCAGCTTGTATTAAAAACACTGCTTGCCTTCTTTGACAACTCTTAATTCTTGAACTAGGTTCATGCTGTGATAGGAGTCCTGATGGATGACACAGACCCTTTAGTGACTGTGATGAAAGTAGAGAAAGCTCCTCAAGAAACCTACGCTGACATTGGTGGCCTTGACAACCAAATTCAAGAAATCAAGGTATTCCCTTGTACTCTTTGACAGTTAAGCCAGCAGTGTGTCTGTTGTGCTAGGAGTTGAGAAGGGAAGCAGCAGGACTGGCTGCTGCTCCTGTAGTGGTGTCCTTTATCTTTCTGTAATGAATTTCTTCATTAGACTTCATTGGGCAGACTCGTGGACCTCAGTGTTTTAAGTGGGTTACCAGAGGTTGTGTGCACAGGAACCTTCCACAGTTGCTCAGGAACCTTTAGAGCTCAGAGCTCATAAAAAATCTAATAGCTTATACTTTGCAACAGGCAAAGTTTCAGTTGTTGCAAGATGAAAATTGTGGAAACTGCAGAGGCTGTTTTGGGTGTCTGATGGTGTCCAATCTAACTTAAGGATTTCGTCTTTCAGGGCAATTGCTCATTTTGTTT